GTACATGGAGAGAGGGCAGGGTGGCTGCTCTTGCTTCTCTTTGGATTTAAATGTTCAGGCTGAGCAACGCTGCAGCCTAACGGGACATCTTGTGCGTGGCGCGTGTGCAGCTTCCCTGCCTGGCCAGAAGCCCTCTCCACAGATTTGCTTCCTCTTTGTGGTATTTTGTCCCTATGGAGAGAGCTTCTTAGAAACTGCAGTGGGCAAAGCTGTGCCTATCCAGAGGGCTGAACACCACTGACTTCTCCCTGGCTCTGAATCTGGCTCTACGTACAGCACCTGCCGTAGTCTCGCTTGGTCCTGATTCCTGGGGTGGGAGTACCTGGAGTATATATCGGCTGACTCACTGTCTTTGGCTGGGAGAACTGGGGGCTGACCTACAGCTTCCAGACCCCTGGGGGCTGACTCAGCACTAGCCATGCCTTTTGGAAGAGATGCAAAGGCGTCGTCAGTCCCTGGGGGTCCAGCCACTGTCTCAGGAGACCTTTAGTCTAACATAGCGCAGTTCATTCTTCAGGAAGAAAGCCTCCTTCATGGCAGTAAGGCTGTGGGGGCTGTGGGTGATATCTCTGGCCAGTTGGGAAGACAGGCAAGGGCAGCTAATGAGAAGAAACAGGGTGTGGATCTTTGCTATTTCTACTTTAAATAAAGTTGCTCCAAGAGAAACCTAAAATATCACTGACCTGTGGGTTTGAAAGAAACAGATGGGACAAAACTCTTCCAAACTCCCTACCCCACCCCTGTGCTACAGCTCTGACTTCACACCTTTGACACCCGCCTTTTCCCACCAAGAAATGTCTTTGAACATCTCTGAGGTTTATGTGGTTCCCTCTTTCTGAGAGATAATTTGTTGTTGACAGTTTTATTTTCTGGCTTCCTTGTGGGGCTGTAGAGAAACATCAAAGGGTAGAAAATGCCATTTTCCCTGGTAAAGTAGGGCCCCACATTGTGCGGGAGGAAATAAACCAGACTCAGATGAATGGAGGGAATACAAGCATTTGAGAGACAGCACTCTTATGTAGATTTGATTTTCTTTGGGGAGGCTCTTCACATTTTTCCATCGGTAAGGGAGCTAAAGATGTTACAGCTGCAACTCAAAGCAGGTCTGTTTCATATTCTGCTCAGGCAGGCCTCAGAGCCACACAATTTCACTTTCAATTACTTACCGCACTTCATTGATCTCTGACTTACTTTGCAGCCATTGGTAGTCTTCCTATTAGACCCAGTTCCTTGGGGACAGAGCCCCTGTCTTCTACTTTTTTTGTTCCCTACATAGAGCCAGACCCAGCAACATGCTGTTGCTCAGTACTTGGTCAAACGCCTTTTCCTCACTGTTGAGTCAAGATGATTGAATAAATCCCAGGCAGTGGTTCTTTTTATAATAAGATGCTTGGTGGCGAATCCATATTACCAGGAGAGGAAGGATCATTTCAGAACAGGGTTTGTGCACAGAGACATTCACTAGAGTGTTGTTTATAAATAGCAAAAAAAAAAAAAGTGGAGACAACTTCCCTCAATAGGGAAAGTTGGGTAAGTTATGGTACCTACATACAGACAATGAGAGAGTAAGCAGCTATTTCTTTTTTTTTTTTTTTTTTTGAGATGGAGTTTCGCTCTTGTTACCCAGGCTGGAGTGCAATGGCATGATCTCGGCTCACCGCAACCTCTGCCTCCCGGGTTCAGGCAATTCTCCTGCCTCAGCCTCCTGAGTAGCTGGGATTACAGGCACGCGCCACCATGCCCAGCTAATTTTTAGTATTTTTAGTAGAGACAGGGTTTCACCATGTTGACCAGGATGGTCTCGATCTCTTGACCTCGTGATCCACCCGCCTCGGCCTCCCAAAGTGCTGGGATTACAGGCTTGAGCCACCGCGCCCGGCCCAGCTATTTCTTTTTTAAGACAGGGTCTTACTCTTTCACCCAGGCTGGAGAGCAGTGGAATGATCATGGTTCATTGCAGCCTCTGCCTCCCAGGCTCAAGCAATCCTTCTGCCCCAGCCTCCCAAGTACCTGGGACTACAGGCGCACACCACTGTTCCTGGCTAATTTATGTATTTTTCTGTAGGGACGAGGTTTGCCATGTTGCCCAGACTTGTCTCAAACTCCTGAGCTCAAGCGATCTTCCTGCCTTGGCCTTCCAAAGTGCTGAGATTACAGGCGTGAGCTACTGCATTTGGCCAGTAAGCAGCTATTTTAAAGAACAAGGTAGAGCCAAATGTTCAAAAAAAGATAACCAAGAAGAGTCAGTGGTATGATGCCATTTATGCAAAAAAGGATTAAAAAGATGCTTACATACATACATGTGACACATACACAGAAAAATTTTGGAAGGATACACAAAAAACTTCATACTGATTATCTCTGGGTAGTGGACTAAGAAGTCAGAAATGGGACCTTTAGTCTGTTACTTAACTTTCCAGTTAGTACTTGAATTTTAAAGTTATGACTGTATTACTGTTTTTATTTTATTTTATTTATTTTTTTTTTTTTTGAGACGGAGTTTCGCTCTTGTTACCCAGGCTGGAGTGCAATGGCACGATCTCGGCTCACTGCAACCTCCGCCTCCTGGGTTCAAGCAATTCTCCTGCCTCAGCCTCCTGAGTAGCTGGGATTACAGGCACGCACCACCATGCCCAGCTAATGTTTTGTATTTTTAGTAGAGACGGGGTTTCACCATGTTGACCAGGATGGTCTCGATCTCTCGACCTCGTGATCCACCCGCCTCAGCCTCCCGAAGTGCTGGGATTACAGGCTTGAGCCACCGCGCCTGGCTTATTTTATTGTTTTAAATAACAAACTAGTTAAACAAGCAAGCTATTTTTGGATGGCAATGAGAAAAGTTAACTCTAAAAGATGCCCCTCCCAGGGGCAGGGGTGAGGCAAGACGGAATGGGGTGGAGAGGGAGGACCCAGCTGAAGGCACACACTGCCCTTCCCTTCACTCTGTGGCTCTTGGCTTCCTCTGCTTTCGGTCACTGGCCAAACCAAACAGCCTTCCAGATTTGTCCCATGAGGTGGAGACGAGATGGACCACGAGAACGTTCTGAATCACAGCCTCGGAGTGAGTTAGGACTTTCTGGACATTCACCAACCACTGTCAGCTGCCACTACCCTGCTCTGGAAGCCAGCCATGTACCCCACAGCAACCGGATGAGGATGGCGCTGATCACATAGCTATGGACTCCATCGTCTGGGGGGTGAATCAAGTTACTGTCTTACTCAAAAACCACCAAATGGCTCACCTCTGCTTGTTGTATGAAGTCCAAATTTACCTTGTGTTAGCATTCAAGGCTGTCCATGTTCAGCCCCACTCTTATCTTTTCAACCTCATCTGCCAAAACTTCTCAGTATGTGCCAACACCAGGACTGCCTGGGTTGGAATCTGGGCTGTGTTACTTAGCACGCTGACTATAGATAAGTCACCTGCCCCTTCAGTACCTGTTTCCTCATCTGGAAAGTAGAGAGGATCAGAACAGCACCTATATCCTGGAACTGACATGGAATTGTGCACATTTACAAATGGGTGTGCGGAATGGTGCCTGGCATACAGTAGGTGCTGTCTCACCTGCCTCTATTAGACCTTCCCACCCTCACTCCATGGTTCTGGCCAGAATGCCTTTCCTGGCCATAGTACTGGTTGTTTCAGAGGCTGTATCAGGCAGCGCTGCACCATGAGGCCTTCCCTAACCACCCCAGGCGTCCAGGGGTTCTTAAGACATCCAGAATCACGTGGGGAACTTGGTGAAGTGCAGATTCCTGCACCTAACTTTTTGGGATCCCACTGAAGTCTGCGACACGGCCCAGGAAGCCGCACCCAGGTGATACCCATACGTGTGGTGTGGGGTGACACTCGGAGAATAGGTCAGTACTTGGAAGGCTACCTTCTGCTGTTCTCTTCTAGGAAAGAGGCTTGGTCCTATTCATTTTCCTCTCTTCTGCAATGTCTCATGCACGTTAGGTTCCTGATAAATGCTGGTGGGCAATTAATGACCTGCTAGGGAGAAGTGCCCACCACCTCTGCCGTCCCACCCTCTCTCTGATGCTGATGGTGCTAGTGTGAATGTGGGTGCCCTCATGAGAAGCTCGTGGTGTAGCTGATGCCGCTTAGACCACAGATTCCAAGCAGGCTCACTGGCTTTTCCCAGGTCTATCTATCTTCCAATAGGTCTGTAGGGATAGTAGTCCACTTGGGGTTTTCTTTAACTTTCCATTAGGAAAGAGTGAGATGGCTTCCTCAACTAGAGGTGCCATCAGTCACTTGGGGGAAATCCTTAAAAATCAAGCCTAATCCAACCACCCGACTGGTTTCTGAGTACCGTGGAGGTTCAAGGCGGGGTCTGGGTAATGGACCGGGTTCTCCCTTATTGCTGAACCAGAGCACCATCCCAGGTTCTCAGTGGGGGCCGTGCTTCAGCAAGGCATGCAGAGGGGCTGGAGCTTCTGAGGACGTAAGGCCTTTCTCCACCCTAACCAACCTCTTGGCCTTGGGGCCAGCCCTATTCATTTCAACCTTGTTATTGTGCAAAGCAAGTGAGCAGATGCTGGGGAAAGTCAAGCATCCTTGGGAAGGAAAAGAGACTCTGGAGAAAGAAGGCGGGGTCGTCCTTAGCAGAAAGGCCAAAGGGCCCTAAGAGGACTAAAAATCCTCCATTTAAAACACAATCTCTTTCCTTAAAAACCAAAAGCTTCCTGTTACTTGCAGCTCCTATATTTCTTAGCACCTATCAGCTCTGCGAAATAAGGTCTTAGGCTGGAATCCACCCTACAGCCAGCTTTCAAAAGCCCTTTCTGGAACTCTGCAGGCAGCACACAAGTTGCCTCAAAGACAGGCTAGAAATGTTCTGTTTTGTTATTTTTTTAAAGTTTCCTGAAAGTCTAAGAATAAAAAGGGAGTGAAAGCTTCTGCTTTGTCAATAGGAAATCCACCCCCCTGTCCCCAGCTCTGCCCTGGAAGCCTCACGGATTTCCTAAAGTTAAAAACGAACACTGTGACCATTTCGACTCCTTGCAAGATTTAATTCTTCCTTTAACATAAATAAGGCAGCATGAAATACCAAGAGTCCCACTGTTTTCTGCTTTAGAAACAGCTTTGGTACAGAAAAGATTCCCGTTTCCCCACCAAGTTCTGTTGTCTCTGTATAAATAAGAAGCCAGAAGGTATTTTTTCCATGAACTTTCTCCTGGAAGCAAAGGAGAAGCTGTGGGAGACCCAGGCACGGTTTTGGCTTCTGAAGGCTGTTTTCCAGTTATTGGGGTCTCTTCAAAGCAAAACGGGATCAGGATGAAGAGGGGGAAAGGCAAGAGCCATAAATAAATAAGGAAATTTGCCCCGATTCTGCAGATACATCTGATGGAATGAGGAAGGTCGGGCTGTGAGGGGTTGGGGGTAGTCTGGGCTGCTGTTAGGGACACACTTGAGCTGGTTCCTTTCCTGGTGTGCCCCGCAGCTGGGTCTAGGGAGAGGCAGGCCCAAGTGCATGTTCAGTCTAACTCCAGCTCACACTGGAAGGCTTCCTACAGGTTTGGTTTTCCCTGGTCACAGCTGAGCTGCTCCACCAGGAATTCACCCTGGTGGACAAAGGGTCCCTCTTCTCGAGCTTTCTGAGGTTGGTTGAGAGCACTCCTGGGGACTGGGGAAGGATCGTTGGGCACCCCCGTCAAGTTGGTTATGCTCTCTGGAAGGCATGGCCGGCTTAAACCCTGGAGGGAGAGCACAGGTACATTCTCAACTCCCTGGCCCTCTGCAAGGGTAACTGAAGTGATGGTGAAATAGGAAATCTCAAAGGGCCAGTGAAGCCACAGGTGGGGAAGAGGCTTCCTGATCCGCCTGAACCACGGACCTGGAGATGGAGCCCAGCTCCAACCACAGAGCCTCTGCCCGGCTCTCTGGGTCTGGGTCATCTGTGTGGTCAGGCGTGCCCACACAGGAGGGGTGGGTTCTTTGCAGTGAGGGAGCCCCGCTGGAGTGAGGAACTAGGGGCTCAGAGGCTGCAGACTGGAGCTGGGTTTCCACAGTAGCTCTTGCTTCCACACACCCTGCCCTAGGATTGGGACCCTGAGGACAACCCAGGGTTATGACATCCTGGCTCCTGATCTCTGCAACTGTCTCTGAACTGGGCCGGGCCGCAAGCCAGACCCCACCACACGAGTAGCATTCTTGAGCACCTCACAGGAGTCCACTGTCTTACAGTAGAAACTTCACTGCAAGACGCAGGGCCAGAAGACCCAGAGAGGTTTAACCCTGCACACACCCTCTGGGAGTGCCATGGCCTTGGGCGCCTTACGGATGCGAATGAAGAAGTGACAGAGCTTCTTTTCCAGCTGTCCTCTGCCCCAGTCACCCTGTGTGTCTCCTTCTCCAGGTGAACTTCCACCTTCAGCATCTGTCCTCCCCTGCCTCACTGATAGAGAGACCAGCTTTGGAGAGAATCAAGAGAGGTGTGGGGCCACTGAGCTGGCATCCAGCATGGCAAATGACACCCACCACGCTCAGGACCCGGTACATTGGGGAAGGACAGCAGAAGGGGGTGCACCTGAGAGAGGAGTATAGCTGAAAAAGTGGCTGTGTTTCTCTATGCCACCAAGTACCCATTTCCATGTGACAGAGATGTTGGTCACTTGGGACCCAAATCTATACAAGGTATATTCTCCAAATAGTATAAAAAAGTGGCAGCCATGGTGGGACTGCTGTTGTGCAGGTTGTGGAGCCAAGATGGACATTCCCACATCTGTCCCTGATAGTGCTTTGGCTGCAGACGGTCAGGCCAAGGGCTGGGAATAGCGGTGCTGGGTCTTAACATGGTTCCCCATTATCCTTCTCATGGATCCTCTGCTGATGAAGAACAAGTACAGACTGGATCTGGGATGCAAAAAGAATTACACCCAATCCAACATCTGCATTGTTTCCAACTCACGGTCCACTGCATGTTCTGCCACCATCTTGGCCATTCATGATCCAGAAGTAAACTGCAGGTTTAGTTTAGTAAACTAAACCCAAATGACAGCATTACCAACAGATCCCAATGGTACCAGCTTCCTGTTGAAATTCTGTTTCCTCTGCCCTGCAGGGCCTGGCTTCCTGGCAGGCTGAGCACGGCTCCCACAAAAGCCCGCCTTGTCCCCAGGACAGCGCTGGCAGATGCCACCAGGAGTGTGACTGTGACGAATGCCCTCGTCCTAGCTTCCAGGTTCCCACATGCTCTACAGGACGTTGGCTTTTTGGGGCAGGCTGGCGTGGTCCGAGTGGACATGTAGGGAATACTCACTAATGAGCGCTGGGGCATTCTTGAGCATCTCATAGAAGGAGTCCAGTGTCTTACGGTAGAGACTTCGCTGCAGGACGAAGGGCCGGAAGAGGTTGAGGGGCTCTGCCCTGAGCACGGCCTCCGGGAGGCCCATGGCATCGGGCACCTTGCGGTTGCCGATGAAAAAGTGGTGGAGCTTCTTCTCCAGCAAGCTCTTCTCCAGGAAGCAGAGCAACTCATGCAGACGAGCGTCCAGCTGCCCCGCCTTCCAGTCGGCAGCCCGCCGGCGGAGCAGGAGGTGCAGCAGGGCGGTCTTCAGGTGGTAGCTGCTGAGCCCACTGGGGCCGGTCAGGCGGCTCTGTTTGGAGAGCAGGAAGGAGGCGATCTGCAGGCAGCTGAGGTGGCAGGCGCCGTCGGGCAGCGCCTTCAGCGTCATCCTGAGGAAGCGGCGCTCGTAGACAGCAAAGGACAGGAGCCAGTCTGTGCTGGAGGCCGGGGTGCCCTCGGACGGCTCCCTGGGAAGGTGGGAGACAAAGTACAGGTCCGAGTCATCACACTGGATCACAGGAATCAGGTTGAAGGGCATGAACTTCCCTGAGCGGAACCTGATCTTCAGGGAGCCCGGGCTGTCCAGCTGGCCAAAGGCCAGGTCAAACTCGTACTTGTGGGCGATGCCGTGCCAGGCTCTGGTGAGGGCCGTCTGGAACCACTTCATGACCTGCATCGTGTCCAGGTACACGGAATCCGCGGCACACAGCAGGTTCTCCATGTCGCCGTAGGGGGGCACCGTGCTGTTCCTGCCGTGCAGGAGACACAGCATATCTTCCCCGAGCTTGGTCTTGCCGCAGATGCAGCTCAGGGTGTCCCCGTCGGCACGGACCACCTTGATCTGGCCGTAGCCCTGGCGATCCAGGGGCACTGAGCGGCTGGAGCACCAGAGCTCTGGGTGGAAGCGGTAGGGCTCGGGGGGTGTGAAGGGCACAAAAAGGTGGCACAGAAGCGGCCTGTCCACCTGCCAGTTCTCGTACATGCTGTCCACGCCAATGAAGTCCTCCACCTCCATGTCAGTGTCGCGATTGCAGAGGCTCCTCAGGGCTTCCAGCAAGTCATCCACGAAGCCTTCCAGGAACTCCCGCGTACGGGCAGCGTCGGCTGTGGCCCCCCGGATGCAGTGCTCATAAAAGTGGCCAAGCGTGGCCTTGTTGGGCAGGGTGAGGCCCTGCAAGGGGGCGCCCCCCAGCCCAGGCAGCTCATCCTCCTCACCGCCCAGGCACTCAGGGGAGGGCCCCTCCTGGTGGTCCTGCCGCCACACCTCGATCATCAGGAAGAGGATCATGCAGAGGGTGCTCCAGAGGTCCCAGGCCACGCGTGTTTCATTCTGCTGCCTGCCCTCCTCTGCCTCCTGCTTCAGCGCTTCCTTCTCAGCTGCCAGCCGCGCCACTTCCTCCTCCAGGCGCAGCTGCTCCAGCTGCAGCTTCTCCTGGTGTGCCTGCATCTTGCGGATGATCTCCTCCTCATTCTCGGGGACCGTGGCGTTCTCCCGCGGGAACAGCAGTGGGTGGTTGATGATGGCCGTCACCACCACCAGACACACGCGGAAGAGCCCCATGGCCATGGTCGGAGCTTTCCTGGGAACAGAGAGAGACTGATGGTCACATCAAGCTTCCCTCAATGCCACCTCAACCCTGGACCCCGCATCAACCTCAGCCCCTCGGGGCTGGTGAAGGTCTTAGTTCTCCCACCCAACCCATCGAGGCTCGCTGCAGCTGCCTCAGGAGCGTCAGTCTAGCCAGGGAAGAGCCCCAAAGGCCTACCCTGGGGTTGGCATCTGTTTCTGTCCTACCCAGACATTTCTGGATGGCAGCAGCACCCCACTGTCCCTGGGAACTAACCCTTTTCTCCTACCAGTGCTTATGGCAAGGGCGAGGATACACCCACCTCCAAGCTCCTGGGTGGGCTCAAAACCCAGGCCCAAGACAATCAGACATTTTGCCCCCCAGCTACAGCCACAGCAATTAGTTCTGGGATGAGCATTTGATCCAGTTTGGGCCAATGAGAGACAGATGTAGGGTGTGTTAGGCCCAATGGGGAGAAAAACTCATCTCGTTGCTAGTTTGGCTGCTAGATTGCCGAGGGAAGAGGATTACACCTGCAGTGGGCTCTCAGGAAGGGAGCCCACCTGAGAAAGGCACCAACACACAGAGGAAAGCAGAAACCCCCTCCCTGTACTCAGCTCTGCTTGAAGGGATTGCTGTCTTCAAGCTGACAGGTGGGTGAGCTTTTTTGTCATATAAGTCAATGAAAAAACCCTTTTTAAGTCAGTTTGAGTGGCCTTTCCACCACTTGAAGTCAGAATAGTCCTGAATAAAACATCTCCTTCTCTCCCAAGTGAATGCCATCTTCTTGCAATATCCTAAAGCCTAGTGGTTAAGGGAGAAAGGACTACGTTCCAAGCCAGCACTGTCAACTGAATAGCTGTGTGACCCTGGGCAAGTTAACACACCTCTCTGAGCCCTGGCTTCCTTGCTGCACAAGAGGAAAGCAATAGTACCCCTCAGGGTCATGGTACTGATAGATGCAATGATCCCTGCAAACTGCACGGCTGAGTGACCAGGGCACAGCACATATTCACCAAACAGTAACTGTTTCTGAAGTAGATTTGAGCCCTTATCCTCCTTTTCTGTAAACATCTCCTGTAAGGTCTTCCGATCTGGCAGACCTTACCTCAAATTCAGACACACTCTCCTGGCTTTTGTCTTTCCGCAGGACAATCTTGGAGATGACCAGAGAGCAGAGAGTCACTGCCTTCTTGCCATGAGGCATCTGAACTTTAAATCTGACTTAATTGTGAAGGGAGGCACTCTGTTCTCCTAGGATAAGTGGATTTTTAAGCCTCAGGGGAGTTTTGGTGAAGGGCTAATCCCTACAATCTTTGCAATTCAAAGCATGATCCAAGGACCAGCAGCTGCGGTATCTCCTGGGAGCTGGTTAGAAATGCAGAATCGCCGGGCGCGGTGGCTCAAGCCTGTAATCCCAGCACTTTGGGAGGCCGAGGCGGGTGGATCACAAGGTCAAGAGATCAAGACCATCTTGGTCAACAAGGTGAAACCTCGTCTCTACTAAAAATACAAAAAATTAGCTGGGCATGGTGGCTCGTGCCTGTAATCCCAGCTACTCAGGAGGCTGAGACAGGAGAATTGCCTGAACCTAGGAGGCAGAGGTTGCAGTGAGCCGAGATCGCGCCATTGCACTCCAGCCTGGGTAACAAGAGCGAAACTCCGTCTCAAAAAAAAAAAAAAAAAGAAATGCGGAATCTCAGCCTCACCCACACTTTCTGAATTGCAATCCACATTTTAATACCATCCACATAAAAATCTGAGAAGCACTGTCTCACGCCACTGCAAGCCTTACTTACATCCTCTCTTCTCCTCAGCAGGAACCCTGGGACTTAACAATCTGCTATTTGCACACTGCAACTATCCCCTCTCTGCTTGGGACCTCAGTGATGGCGCCAGCGAGGAAGCAAATGGCCAAATGCAAATCAGCTGAGGTCCTGAGATAGTTGAGAGCACAGTGCTCCTCCTTCCACCCCCTGGTGCACGCCAATACTGGCTGATAGGAGCTGCAGTGCTGGCCTGAGCCCCATTCCCTTTGGCTTGAGCCCCTTATCTGGAATTTGCACAATGAAATTCTTGTCCTAATGGTACCTAGGAACAGGGGTTTGTCCCCAGGTAAGGATACCTCTGCAGGTAGTCCTTGGCAAGACGCAGGATGGAGATGGCCTGAGTTGGCTGCTGGTCTCGCCTAGACAAAGCTTGCTGCTTAGATGTGACTCAGACAGTTCCACCCCATACACAGCTGGACAGGTCTGCAGGACCCAAAAGGGTGGAGGAGTGGAGAAGGTCCGTCCTCCACCCTGCAGATTCTCAGCGTGGGCCTCAGAGATGAGCTCTGAAGCGTTTCCACGGGAGAAGGAAAGCCACCAGGAGAAAGTGGAGGAAGTCACACTGCCAGGTGGGTGGAGTAAGGGAAAAGTGCAGGGGGCAGCAAGCCAGCTTTCCTTCCCCAAGCCAGGGAGCAGCTTGCTGGATAATGGCAGAAACAGGTCAGCCTGGTTTCTACATCAGAGAAGCATCAGTGGAAAGTTTTGCCAGGGAGGGTCCAACGCATAACTAACTGAGAGGCTGGGTGATTAAAATGGGTGAGAGTGTTAACATAAAGGTGTAGAGTACTCAGCAGAACATTAGGCAGCAGCCAGTTAGGAGATATTTTGGGGATTCTGAGGTCCTTCAAGGTGCCTGGATCACAGGCAGCCGCCTTTGGACACAATGGGCCTTGATCAGTCACAGTAATAGTCCGGGCAACCACCTCCCTAGGTTCCCTGTCAACTCAGTGTAGGATGCCACATAGGGGGAGTGGGGCCATGGCCAAGCCCTGTGGCTGGGAACCCTTCCTGTGTCTACGCCACACTTCATGGTGCTACTTGCTACATTTTCATTCCTGCCAGAGGAAGAGCTGTGAGAGCTACTGAGGGGGGCAAGGTTCAGAACTGCAAACCTACCGAAGGGACCAACTCCGTGTGCAAGGGGAGAAGAGGACAGACTCGAGAGGAGACACTGGGTCAGAACCCAGCATGTGCCCCTACTGGAGGTGACTCCGGACAAGTCACTCTGCTGCTCAGAACCTCAGTTTCTTAGTCTGTAAGACGAGAATAATCATGTCTGCTGTTGTCAAGCTTGAATAAGATATTGCATGTCAAGCACTCAGCAACATGCTTGCCCCTGAGCAAGTTTTCTTAGAAAAGAAACTGATGGGATGGAAATCCGCAGATGATCCTGCCTGCAGTTCAGGATGGAGTGTGCACAGACGCCCCTACAAGGCACTCTGGCAGGATGCAGGCAGCGCACAGTAGCACTGGCAATTGTAGGGTTACAGACAGACTCAGCAGAAGCACCAGGGACACAGGGCATCTGTGTGGGAAGGACTGCAAGGAAAGAGGCCCTGGGCTGTAGACCCAGCAGACCTAGGCTCTAACCTTGAGTGACTGTGGGGGTGGATGGCGCAGCTTCTGCGCTCCCACACTATCCCTGTGAGGAGGAGTTAATAACACTCCCTCCTTCACAGGGAACTTGGAAAGCACAGGTGAGATCATACACCTTGGGTGCTTAGCACTGGGCAGGCTCCTCCTCCTCAGCATCCACGGGCTTCTGCTTTCTCACTTGCTCAGCACAGCAGCCCTGCCCAAGCCCCAGGCTCAAGGAGTAAACACACGCTGAAAAGTGCTCTGAAAGCACAAGCCGTTCCGCTGCTACTGCTCTTCCTTGGCACATCCCAGAGTCCGCCCTGGCCCCCAGCAAAGGGGAGAAGCCTTTGGAGCCTCGAATCCTCCTGCAGGTCAGGGGTTCCCTCTGACTCACTTTCTCATGTAAACCATCTCCCCAACTTCTCAGCTTACTGCTCCCCCGATCGGATCCCAGCTGTCATTTGGCTCCTTGTTAAACCCTGCACAGGCTGGCTCAGTCTGCAGCATCCTACGGGATAGGACAGGGATGGACAGGCCCAGGCAGAGAACAGGGCTGTGGCTGCTCAGGGCCCACTAGATGGGGCTCAGTTTGAAGCTTTTGATACTTCCCCTTCCCAAACCAAATCATAGGGGACACGGCCCTGGAGGCCCCAGGGGTCAGACGAATCTCCTGCAGGCCAAGGGGATTCCAGAATAAACCTTACCAACTAGTTCAGGTCAAGACGGGAAGGAGGTGGTCGACAAACCCCATTATATCCTCCTTCCTTTGGAATTCAGGCACAACTGACCAACATTAACATGAAACAGAGATCTTAAGAGTGACAAAACAGACACTCTAGCAATAAGATCCCGAATTCCAATCCACTATAGCATCACACGACAGAGAGCAGGCCCTGAAAGAAATCAAAATATTTTACCCCAAAATATATCTCTTTGACATATTCTGAAACGGCCCGAAAGGCTGTTTCTTGCCAGGAAAATCTACATTATGTACAGAATTTCCTTTCCTTTCCAGCTCTCTTCCTGATACAGGAGAGATTAACCAAGAGTCTGGCACCTTTATAGATCTAACAGACATTTACCATCTTCTCTCTCTGAAGCCCACTTCCTGGAACTTCACCTACATAGTAAGAACCGTGGTCTCCATAATCCCTTATCCCAGGCACTCCTTTCTACTGATTTCAGGTCTTTAGATGATAACGTAACCCTTTCAACCAATTGCCAGTCAGAAAATCCTTGAATCCACCTATGACCAGGAAGCCACTCTTTGCCCTCACTTCGAGTTGTCCCACCTTTCCAGACCAAACTAACATATACCTTACACATGCATTGATGGACATCTGCCTATAACTTCTGTTTTTTTTTTTTTTTTTTTTTTTAGACGGAGTTTCGCTCTGGAGTTTTGCTCTTGTTACCCAGGCTGGAGTGCAATGGCGCGATCTCGGCTCACCGCAACCTCCGCCTCCTGGGTTCAGGCAATTCTCCTGCCTCAGCCTCCTGAGTAGCTGGGACTACAGGCACGCGCCACTGTGCCCAGCTAATTTTTTGTATTTTTAGTAGAGACGGGGTTTCACCAGGATGACCAGGATGGTCTCGATCTCTCGA